CTCTCTCTCTCTCTCTCTCTCTCTCTCTCTCTCTCTCTCTCTCTCTCTCTCTCTCTCTCTCTCTCTCTCTATATATATATATATATATATATATACATACATCCATCTATCTCTATCTACATCCATCTATCTCTATCTCTATCTACATCCATCTATCTCTATCTACATCCATCCATCCATCCATCTCTATCTCTTTCTCTATATATGTATATATAGATATATAGATATTAATAGATGTACGTTTAATTTAGTACTTTTAGGTGAACATGTTCTGTTTGGCGCACCAACTGAAAGTGACGTCTAAACATCAGCACGTCGAGTTAAACATCCAAAGTTTAGGGGATTACATATTATCCATCTTTTCTCAGTACATAACTATGATTCCAGAATTTAAAGTTTTCAGTTTGTTCTCTTGTAAGAGGCTAAAGTCCAAACAAATTATTTTCACCAGGCAGCGATCAGTCGGCGAGTTCATGCCGCTGTTCAGTTTTCAGCCACAAGATGGGAATCTAAGACAAGCTCTGCTTTGCCCAAAGAACCGAAACTGATCCGGAGTCAGTCTTTTTATTTACTTATTTAACCCAAATACAAACAGAGGAGAGAGAGTGAAGCGCTGCACTAACAGATGATCAGATGAGAAAAGATGCCATCACCCCAGTGAACACATGCACACTGTGCACACTAAGAATTAATGAGCCTTGAAACTCCTTTCAGTGATGTGTTCATATGAAATGGCATTATTTCTCTGTCAACACTTTCTAAACGGTCTTTCATTAGAAAATAATAAATAATCCACCATATTAAATGGAAACAAAAGAAGTCCCACTTAATATAGTGGAGCTTTAGCAGCAGAGGAAGTTAAAGTAACAGGTGACCCAACGTGGCCTGAACTTTGGACTTTGGCTGTTGAAGACAGGAAGTGTTGGCGTGCGTCTGTCGTGCAGTCCTGAACCACCACCCAAAACACTACAAACACCCCAAACTCACTTTTCTCCGTTTGGAGCTGGTCGTCTGTCTCCAGAGCTACAAAAAAAATGAATTAATCAAACGATGTTAGCATTTAGGAAACAACACCAGTTTCTAATGCTGCATTTGAAGCAAAGCAAATTAAAAGATTTATGTTCAACTCACATCGATACTGACTAAAACAAGTTTAAACTTGATAAAACTGAACCACATGCTTATTTTAAGTCTAAAGGTCATCAGAAGCATTTGTTATTCATTAATCAAGTTGATAAATTAGTAACATTTTAAGTTAAATTAACTGGATCCTTTGAGATTTGCATACAGGCCTTTCTGGATGGTTGCCATGTGCTTCTAAAACATGTATATTATTTGTTCCCAGATTTTTCTGCTTTGGACCCACAGAATAACCTCAACTATCCATTTTAAATAATGCAAACATTACAATGAGTCCATTTAACTGGAGTGTAATGACGAAAAGCACCATATTATTATTTTTATTGACAGATCCTTGGCTTTTAACACAATTCAGGCCCACGTTAATACAAGGTTTTGGAACAGTAAAATTATTTTTTTGTGTTGGGATTCTTGACTTTTGAACAAAGCAGACACAGAAAGGTAAAAATAAATGGCACCATGTCCGATCTGAGCTGCCCTCACTGGGAGATTTTCACTTTAAAGCTGCGATTCATGGAGTTACAGAAGAAATCACAGACTCAAACAATGACAAAACTGACCTTGTCATTACAAGAAGACATCTGCATGTGGTTCTCTGCAGTATACAGAGATTTTCATCCATCTGTCTCATTCAACTCTAGGATTTGGATTACCGTATTTTCCGCCCTACAAGTCGCATCAGTCCAAATATGTCTAATAAAGTGGAAAAATACATAAATACGTTGCATCTATTATGTGTCACCGCTGACAACCTGGAAATGTGGGCCGGTGTTGTGTCAAAATTCAATTGGCTGCCAAATGGCGGCTGCGGGAGCGTGCACTGGAGGATTTTAATGAGAATTTAACAAAATAACACTTAAAAACAATTATTTGTTTGCTCAAAATTATACTAAAGGGTGTCTCAGTCCAACTTTTGCTTAATAAATGCACTTTAACGATAAAATCAGCTGCATTACAAAAGCTGACACGCAGAAGTAGGAATGCGCAGAGCTACGCGTCACTATGCATTTCTTCGAAATTTAACAAGATAACCACCTAAAAACAATTATTTGTATGCTCAACATTATATCAAAGGTGTGTCTCAGTTGAACTTTTACTTAATAAATGCACTTCAATAGTCAAATTAGTTGCATTTCACCGGGGCGGCGCAGCGAAATGAAGCTGAATTTGATAGTTGCTCCAGGTGAGATGGATGAAGGTGGCTTTGTATGGCAAGCCAATTGTGTCATTAGTCATTTGTACCCATTACACGACACAATGGCATGCCATACAACTCGAGTGCCATCTAGCAGCTGAAAATGGTCGTGTTCAATATTTTCAATCAGAATGAATGAAAATGGTTATATCTCTGCCAAAATTTGGTTTATAAATATGAGGAAAATAAATAAATAAGTTGATTTGGCGTGTAAGTCGCAGGGCATGCAAATTATGCAACCCCCCCCCCCCCCCGCGCGACTTATAGGGTGAAAAATACAGTAAAGTTCTCCCATATTCTGTTTGCGTGTTTTAAAGCTTTCCCCTCTCGATAAGTCTGCGTGCTGGACTTACCCTGCAGCTCCCTGGTCAGGGACTCTCAGACAGTCCAGGTTCGGCTGCTGCCGGCTGCCTCCTCCTCGCTCCTTCAGCTGGTTGTTGTTGCTGGGCAGGAAGGGGCGAGCTGAATTGCTGGAGGGGGGCTGTCTCTGGCCGTGGTGCTGCGAGTTCCTCTGATTAGCGACGTGGTTCATGTTTTTCGGGCCGCCGTTCTGGTGAGCAACTGCAGAGAAAGCAGGTTCTGTAGATGACCAGAGCAGAAGCTGCCAATGTGCCGAGACGTGTGACCTGGGGTACCTGGGGGTCCTGGTGCTGATCGCGACGGCTTGTTCTGGTGCGATCTGGCCCCACTGGAGCGACTCTGACTGAAGCTCTGTTTGGTTGGACCTGAGACATTTTTAGAAAATATAAAAAAACTAAAACTCAAATATGAACAGAGTCATAAATAAATTATGTTATATTGATGAAAAAAAAAAACGGTAAAGATTTGAGGCTTCATGTTGCCAAAAGGCGATGGCAGATGGTGTTTTTGCTTGTGTCTGTTAGCAAAATAGCCACTAGATACAGTAATCATTGAACATTTACTGCTGATTTACTTTGAGTCAACCTGATTCAAAATGGCTGTGACAGCCAGCAGACCTTAAAAAACACAAAAACAGCTTTTGGTCAGTCTATTTTATAAATATTGACCTGAACATGGTGTAGTAGATAAGACTGATCCACTTTGAGCACAGCATTATTATAGACAGTTCTGTGAAATTCATTCATTCAACCTTTATTTAGACAGGTTAATCCCGTTGAGCCTCGAGGACTCATTTACAAGAGACCTGATTAAATGGTTGCACAGAATAGACCGTCTTTGTTTCCGCTAGCCGTTCATAAATCGCAGATGAAGCCGGCCACGTCCCGCTCGGATGTGAGCTTTCAGAAATGAAGTGGGCCGAGCGGAACCAAAAGGCGTGGAGCAGAACTCTGCTGGGCTGAGGCAGAGCGTGATGGATTAAACGTGTGTCATTTACTGAACAAGATGAATAAACTCACTTTGGTGACCCTGTTTTTGGTAAGCTATGGTTTTAAACACCAAAGCCCATGCTCAATAATCCAGGTATAAAATCCAACAATGTTCAGTCAGGTCATCTAGACGGTTTCTTTCTTTTTTTTTTGTGCTGAGACGTTTCACCCTCCATCCAGAAGGCTTCATCAGTCTGAGGAAACACCAAACAAAACTGATTCTCCCCAAACAGCTTACTCCAAAGTGGAAAAAAAACGTTATGTTGGTGCTAAGATGGCCTCTGGGGCACTCCCTCTCCTCTGGTGCCTGCCCACTCCCTCGTCGAGTCATGTCAAACTGGTTCCAAACACCAAAGTAATACTCAATAATCCAGTTTCCAATATCTTTTTAAACTAACTACAAAGTTACTGTGCATCATCGTCAATATTCCCCCGGTAAGCAATCTATTGTTGTTTAATCCCACAAGTGGGCGAACGCAACTAACGGCATCTGTTCATCACATTACTGAGCTGCAGCTCCGCATTTTTTTCTTCTTTCTTTTCTTCACGTCGGCCAGTCCGGTATATGTTGCATGAGACCGAGCATAACGTTCTTTTCAAGGCTGGACCAAAATGGCTACAAGGAATGCCAGGCCTTAATTTAGGATTATTATTTCAAACACTGATGCTTCAACTGCTTCCATGTTCAAACCAAAACACCAATCCAGACCTAGTTTGATGGCTCGGCTGCGGTTCTGCTGATACTTACGCGTGTTCTTGGGAAGTCCTGGTCCAATGCTGACCTGCAGAGATTTGCTTGAAGGCTTCATAACAGCAACGTCTCCCTGACCCTGCACAAACAACAACTGTCTGGAGTTGCCCCCACTCAGGAAGCCCCAGTTCTCCTTCTTCAACTTCATCTCCAGTCTGAAAATTTCACGAATAAAAAGAAAGGATACATTATAATTAATTTAATTAGGATCTTTTTCATGGTTACAGAAAACACTTTTGTTCCAGACTCTTTAAACTGGTTGGTAGTAGGCCCGTCACAATAAACAATAAATTAATTCCATTTCATTTATCAGGTTTATCGTTACTTCGTGTCGCTCTCTTTCTATTGAAGACACTGGATGACAAAAAGTTCAACTCCAGTGCTCGTCACCGACTCCCCCCTTTCTCTTTAAAATCTATTTTAACTTTCCAAAATTGTGTTTTTGCATCGTTAAAAGCAGCTGAGCTGAGAAGCTAAGCTAACAGGCGGATCTCGGGGAAAAAGAACTCCGTCTTGTTGATGCTCCAGAATTCACAGTTGAAACTCATGCCTTCGTGTAAAAAGTTGTTTTTCTCTGAAAAAAGAAGCTGAGAACCCGTTTACTGATTTTTTAAATTAAAAACTTTGTGTGAAAAATGCTATGCTAAAGAACTCGCACCGCACCGAGCATCCGCCATTTTGAGAACCAAAGAGAGACAGCCCATGTCACATCAAGGGGCCTCCCTCCCATTTATCTTAAAGAGACACACTGCTCACTCCCTCACTATCCATCCTTCGGTTCAAACTGTCTTGTACTGCCATCCAGTGGTCAAAAAAGATACTACACACAAAACAAATGAACCAACATTTCTTCTTAAATTTGACAATTACTAATTATTGTCAAATTTCAATGTTATCGTTTATCGCAATAATTTCTGAGACAATTAATCGCCAAGTAAAATTTATCATGACAGGCCTAGTCGCTAGTCCTTTATTTGTCTTCATGTGTTCACTTACGTGTTACTAAACTTGAGTGGAAGCTTCCTCTGAGTTTTCTCCTCGAACCTTCGTGCCAGTAGGCTGAGGAACTCCGTTTTAAAGACGCACTCCAGCAGGCTGTCGTACTCCTGCTCGTGCAGAATCACGAAGTCATCTTGCAGCGTGCTGAAACCAGTAAAGCATCAAGTAAAAAGCTCGTCCCCGAGTTCAATTAAAAAAGGCCGACATTAGTCAGGATGAGAAACCAATCTGTTAAGGACTGTTCATTCATACAGGTGTTTTGTTTTCATATGGAAGGGCAGCTTTCACTTTGGTATTAGGAGCCTCACAAAGCTGCTCACGTCTGAGGAGGAACGACGGCTTTGGGCCTGAAACGAACACAAAGATATTCTGTTCCTCTCACTGAGGTGGACTTTCTGTCTGATGAGTTTTTTTTACAACCCTTGCTTTCGCTCATAACAACACCACCTGTTCCGTATTACCGACTCAAAGGCCACACGCTCGCAGCGACAGCTCAGAAGCAGATTTCACAGAGTTTCCATCAACAACAAAGAGAAAACAACTGCAGCTCCTTTTATTTTGGAGTTTCTTCAGTAAGAAACAAATCAGAATCTCTTCAAGTGGATTTGACTGCGTCCTTTCAGCAACAACCTGTTTCTACTCAAATCTGCACACGCGAACGTACACGAGAACGTTTAATTCACGCCACATGTTTTCAGTGTCCTTTGTGTGACTTTTACAGGAGCTTGGAAACTTTATCTGGGAATCCAGACTTTGAAGAAGATTCACGACTTTCTTCAGTGCAGCGTTTTGCAAAAGCATCCCACCACAGCCACCGTCGTATTTATCGCCCACTGCTGAAGGTGGAAAATAATCATGTTGCACATGTGTCTGTGTGTGTTACCAAATTATCTCATGAATCAATAAACTAAGTTTAACAAAACTTGCATAAAGTAATTATTTTATGAACAAGTTATTATCTTTTGGAGTCAATATGATTCAAGATAGCTGTTACAGCAAACTAATCTTAAGAAACAAAAAAAATAAGATTATAACTTAGCCAGATTTAAAGATATTGGTCAAAAATTCACATCGCATACTCTAATTGCTAACGAGTCATATCAACATCTACTAGGTATAATTTAGGGATTACAAACAGACCTTTTGAATTGTTTTGAAATCAGGCTAAACAAAAGATACGTCTATAAAACTTTCCACTTTGACTCATTGGTGGATTGAAGAGACGCAATGAAACTCATGACGCAACTTATGAAACATCGTTATCAAATAAATTTTTTTAATATATATATGGTAGTCCCTCGCTGCATCACGCTTCGTTTATCACGGACTCGCGCTATCGTGGTTTTTCAAAATAAGATTGGACATGACACACTATTGGCTGATTGATGGATGAGCCGCACGATCGGCATGGATTTTTTAATTTAAAATAAATTATTTTAAATTATTTAGCACCTCCTGCAGCTTTGTGCAGCCCATACTGCAGGATAAGCTTCCTCCTGCAGCTGATCAGCTGTTCTCCGTGCAGAGCGGAGAAGTGGGCGTGGCCAAGAGCGCTTGCAGGTGTCTGAGAGCAGCGGAGGCAGCGAACTGCGATCATGACATTCTGTCTCTTTTAGAGCTTTAGAGTTTAGAAACATTGTTTAGAATATTTAGAAACATTGTTTAGAATATTTAGAATATTATAAGAGTGTGGGAAGGGTTTAAAAAATATTTTTAGCATGCATGCATATATATATATATATATATATATATAATACTAAAATAAACTACTAGTTACTACTTGTACTATAATCCCTACTTCACAGTTTTTCACTTATCGTGGGTCTTCAGGGTACGGGTCCCCTACGATAAATAAGAGGGAGCTATGTGGTGTCCCCCCATTGGAAGGAGAAAAATGACTGCCATGGGGACTCCTCCAAGGGTGATGGTGGGACTTGAGGTGCCTCCTGCAACTTCACCTCGCTTCGATCCTGTGTCTTCATTCTTCAGTGGATCATATCCAATCCGTATAGCTGGTTCCACAGTCTAAGAGTCTGTGTATCGTCTGACAAAGTCAAAGCAACTCAAATCTAACAAGGTTAAATCAGAACCTCTTTGTTGAAACGTTCCTGACTGAAACAGACTGAAGAAGTCTTTTGGATATGACGAAACGTTTCAACAAACAACAATCTGTCCGGAGGACCTGATTCAACCTTGTTAGATTTATCTACCTGGATTATTGAGCGGGCATCAGGAGAAAGAAACCCAAAGTTTAGACCAATTCTTAGAACGATAACCAGAGTCTTAGTTGGGCAAAGTGGCTCAACTTGCTGTGAGCCTCAGTTTGTTTATTTAAAATAATACTATCCATCAAAACTCACTCTAAAGGAAAAGAAGCACAACATAAATTGCTTGAGAGTTGGAGGTGGTGTTGCGTAGCAGGAGACGAGGATTAATGTTGACTTTAGTAGATAGGATGAGCGCAACATTTGCTTTTATGGACTGACTTTGTTTTGGCCATTTGTTATGGCTATTAATTATTAATCAATATGGAGATGAGCCGGTGAAGAACTTCTGTGTATGACTGAACTGCAGTTGGCTTCCATTCATCATTTCTCAACATCAAGAAATACAAAAGCAACAAGTTAAAATAAGATTTATGAATTATTTTAGGGAGAAGATGAGAATCCATTTTTTTGTACAGTAGTCCCTCACTACTTTCCAAACTATCACAGTTTGTGGACGTACAGTCCATAATATTGTACAAAAATAAATAAAACTGTACCGGACACATGATTGTCTACTTTAATATTACTCACGTGATTGGGACAGTACTGGATACAGTACTGTACAGTAAAAAGTTAAAGAAAAAACAAGATACTTTGAAAAGGCGTCACCATTTTGTAGTTTTCTCTCAGTAAGCCTCCACTCTACTCCTGCTCATAACGACCACATTTCCCAGAAGGCAACAGGGCCCCGCCCAGAGGCCCCGTTTCCTTCTGCTGAAAAAAAAAAAAAAAGAGATAAAGTTTTTGATCTGAGCGGCGCCCAGCGGATGCAGAGAAGCTGCGCTGAACCCACCGAACCGGACCAGAACCAGACCTCCAGACCCATCAGTGAATCTGGAGAGCTGGTAGCCGACCCACGAGGACTTCTAAGCATGGACGTGTGCCGAAAGCTCTGGAGTCGTTTCCATAACCCATCGGGACTTTTTTCATCCAGACCTGGACTTCGTTCGACTATCCAGTCACCACGCCAGCCAGCAGAAAGTCTAACCCCCCCCCCCACAAGAGCTGCGATGAACCGGACCTCCAGACTCAGCGGTGAACCCGAGAGCTCCCAGCTGGTCAACAAGGACCTCTAAGCAGGGACGCCCCGTCAGTAAAATTTAGTAGCTACATATAAGTAAGTTGTTAAAATTAGTCTGTTTAAGAGTTTAGAACATTGCAAGAGTGTGGGAAGGGTTTCTAAAGCCTTACAATATATTTAAATACTAAAATAAACAGCGTTGCTACTTTGTGGACTACTGTAAATCTGAGAAAAACGTACACTCAAAGACAGTTTTTACCTGAGAGACACGGCCAAAACTTTCTCCACTTCAATCCGCCTCTTCAGCACCTCAGTCACCTGACCCTTCTCTGGTCCTTGCTTCACCTTCTCTCTTCCGATCAGATACACAGATTTAGGTGTCAAAATCAAGTCCCTCCTAATTCCCTGAATGCAAAAAGAGAAAAATGACTTAAATATTGTCAGGAATTTTAAAAAAATCTAGAAAAAAAATCAAATCATACCTTGAACCGTCGGTCATATTTTGTAATTTTGTCGGCGAAGTCGATCTTTTCTCTCTTGCCTAGAAACTGTCGAAGTTCGGGCCTGTCGTCCATGCCGAGGTAGTCCCCCACAAAGTTTCTGTTCAGGCTGTGCCGCCGCCGCTCTTTTCTGTTCAGCAGCAGATCAGAAGCTGAAGAAAGAAAAAAAACGAGCATAAATTAAAGTGAGGAGAATGAAGATGGAGTCAGACGGATAATAAAGCGGCGGGCTTTACTCACCCTCTTCCCTCATCTGAACGTATCTCTTACGAGCAACATATTTCCTCCAGGCCTTCTGGATGGTCCTCGCATAACCGTCAAACTTTCGTTCCCTCGTCTCTTCCAGCAGAAAGAGCTACGAAGAGCAAAACCCTCAAGTGTTAGTCATCGCACAACAACATAAAGTACAATGAAAATATCAAAATACAAGTAAACATACCACCAACAGAACACGGTAAATCACACAAAACCAGTTCCATTAAAATTGATAAATGTTTCTGAGTGAGAGAAACATATTTCCATTTGCTCTCCGTTAGTACTCGTAGTAAAATTACACAAGGTGCTGCCCTGCTGAATAAACATGCTACGGTTTTATAGGTTTTAATTAAGTAGGAGTCAAACTACGGGTGATTATATTCAGTTTGAACAACTTTTCTCATTGAGTTTAATTTTGAAAAAATGCTGAAAAATAAATATTTAAAGAGATCTAAACTTTTTTAATGCATTTCCAAACCATTATTAAGTGCTCATATGAACACCGGGATCATCTGAAGAACACTGTTCAATAAGTTGTACTCCTCCTGAATGTAGATTTAAACAAATATCAAGATTACTCTCATTATCTGCCACTTGAGTTGTCAAGTTGCATGTGCAGAGAGAACTCCTTTAGTCTGACGTTCCCACACCCCGGTCAGCACCACTGGGTTTGAGGATGGCCAACTCGAGTCACCGACCTTGTGGCCACAACCCGGGGCACCCACCTCAACAGTGACGGTGCAGAACCTGGCCCACCCAGAGTCAGTCTGAAGCTCTGTCAGAGGTAGGAGTTGAAGATCCTTCTGATGGTCTGGTCTACGTTTGCTCCATCTGAAATCCACGACCATCTCCTTCATCTTCTTCACATTGATGTGAAGGTTGCTCTTCCTGTACCAGCTCTCCAGGTGTTCCACCTCCTGTCTGTAGCTGGACTCATCATTGTTTGTGATGCATCTCACCACCGCTGTATCATCTATAAACTTTATAATGTGACAGACTGGATGGGTAGGTGCACAGTCATACATGAGCAGAGTGAACAGGAGGGGGCTCAACACACAGCCCTGAGGGAAGCCAGTGCTGAGGGTTATGATGGAGGAGGCGAAGTTGTTGATCCTCACAGACTGCGGTCTGTTGGTTAAGAAGTCCAGGACCCAGTTGCAAATTTAGAGTCTTAATCCTAATGCGAGTAGTTTGTCCATCAGGGTCTGGGGGATCATTGTGTTGAAGGCGGATGTGAAGTCCACAATGAGCGTACGGACGTACGAGTCCTACTGCTCCAGGTGGGTGAGAGCAGTGTGGACCACAGAGGAGATGACGTCCTCTTTGTGAGTTTGTGGGACGTCTTTGTTTGTGATGGACAAGACTAGCCCAGAAGTCCAACAAAAGAACATGCATATAGCTCGATTCGGACCAGAGAGGCCATTCCTCCCAATCACGCCCCTCCAGTTTACACCATCACTACCCACATAGATATTGAAGTCCCTCAGCAGAATAATGGAGTTCTCAGCTGGCACACCTCCAGTTTCCACTAAAGACTCCAGGGAGGGTAGAAACTCTGAACTGCTATTCATCACATACAGTAGGTACAAACAACAGTTAAAGCACTGTGTCCCAAGGTGCAGGGAAGGTACCCTCTCATCTACTGGAGAAACCTCCAACGCACCAGCGCCAAACTGTGGAGGAGGGTGGGCTACGTGTAGACCCACACCAGCCCAACGCCTTGTGTCATCTGTTCATTCTTCTGTGTAAACCGTTAACAAAAAGTAACTTACTGAATGAGAAAGGCGCTGTTGGAATGATGTTTATTTTGATTAAAAACGTCTTGATTGAGAAGCATTTATCAGTGCTGGTTTGTGTGATTAGCACTTTGTCGCAGCAGGACACCAGATGTTGTACCAGCCAGTGCCACTTCCTGCCGGACCTCCTAACACAATCATAATCTCTGCCCTCTCTGTGCCAGACTAAACATCCCAGTGTTGCCCCCACCATTATCCAAGAAGGCACCCCACCCCGCCCCGTCAAGAGAACCGAGGCAAGGCACCGGCAGTACTACTGTATAATGCTAATGCTAACACACTGAATCAGCTCAATCAATATCTGTAAAGCTGGACATCAAAACCAAGAGAGTCCTGATCAATCGAAAACATTTGTGACAAAATGTTTCTAGTCACCATGAATAAAAAATGTTGTAAAATTGATAACTTTATTTGGCTGTTTGAATGAAAATGACGCGTCTTTAATGTTTAATCAGTCTGAGAGCAAAAAGACGAGCAACCGCAGAAATCCATCATCTCCTAGGGAATGAAACTCCTTCAACACGTGGCCTGTCGACGCACAAGCTTCACTTGTTAAAGAAAAAAAGCCGATTGGTGTCGGGGGTTTTATCAGACGCAGGCTTGTTTGGAGAAACCTGGTGGCTCGTTTCAGCGATCTGCCCTGTGTGATATTTGCATTTCATTACATCTCAGTGACTTGGACTTTCAGTCTGTCGGGGTGGGGGGCTGCAATAACTGAGTAAAAGCATTCATGATCAGCTGTAGGACCTGATTTAAGACTGAGATGTCTGTGTGTGTGAGAGCTGCTAAAAATACATCTGCGGGTGTGTGTGCCCGCCCGTCCCCACTTCTGTCTGATCTGGTAATAAGTGAGAATACAGGCTTTACACAAGTGCTGCTTTCATAAGAGTCATAAAGACTGCCAGAAAAAAGACGAGCCCTCACCCCCCCCCCCCCCCCCCCCCCCCCCCCCCCCCCCCCCCCCCCCC